GGCCCCCCCCCCCCACCCGAGTGCACAAATTTTTGTGCACCGGGCCTATAGTATATATATAACAGGCTAATATGCAAAGTGTCCCCTCGAGAGTTCGACCGGGAGACCGGGAGTTCGATTGCTCCCTGCTACGTGCGCTGACCACCAGGGGGCGGCGCGGAATGAAGGAAGCCCCCAACTGGCAGCTGGAAGGCCCCGATTGGCCCTGATTGCTGGCCAGGCCTAGGGACCCTAGGATGAACAAAATAGATCCAGAGCCATGGAAGCATGGAACAGACTGAAAATCTCAGAAGGAAGCGGGTAGGGGGTTTAGGAAGAGATTAACCAAAGAATTTATACATGTATATGCATATTCCATGGACACAGACAATAGTACTGAGAAGGTCTGGGGATATGTGGGAGTGAGGTCAGGGGGATCAATGGGGGAATAGGGGATATCTGTAATAATTTCAACAATAAAGATAAATTTAATAAAAATGTTATAGGGAAGAAATGAACTGAGGTGGGGCTGCTTTAGCTTGCTGGGAAGTCAGGTTTGGTGGGTTAGCTGTCTCTGCCCATTTCTTCCCTGGTTGACCATCTTATGGGGTCCCTTAGAGTTTAGGTGATGCATGCCTGTAGGGGAAGAAGAAAGCAAAGGGGAAGATGCCAACATGCTCCTGGGAGGGAGAGCACTCGAAAAGGTGATTTTTTATCTTGGGTCTATTTGTTGACTTACTACTCAAGATGAATATTTTTTTGATAATTATTGATTAAAGAGAAAGTTGAACCCTTTTAGGTAGTCACTTAACATAGAGGATCCTGAATTTCATTTATAAAATGAGAAAATAAACATCAGCCATTTCTAAGTCATTAAACTGTCGTAAGAATCAATGAATATATATAATGCTACTTTGTAAGTTACAAAGCAATATACTCAACTTTACCCGTTAGTAACGTCTCCAACAACACAATCATAAATACTAGGAAAGAGCAGCCAGACGTGACTGCATCCCGCTTTTATGAGTAAAAGTACCAACTGTACCTTTGAAAACTAACATTCCTCAACTCAGGAAAGGAATGAGCTATGAAACTTGTTTGCCATTGTAGAATAATTTATCCTTGTTTTTGCTTTTGTTTTCTTGGGGGGGAGGGGTAAGAATACATATAGTGTTGGTCAAAAATTTTAAATCTAAATGCAGAAGCATTTGAGATCTTGCTTCCCAGCATATATCGTCAGCTTGACTGAAATAAACTCATATAAATAATTACATACATACATACATGCATATGTACATACATACAAAAAGTAAAGTGATAAGACTTAAGCATAATCAAAATACAGATCAATCTCACTTATTAACATAGAAGCCTTTATTTTATAAGTGGAGAAATTAATACTCAAAGATATGCAGGGTGCGTATAAGAATTTAACACACTAGTTTGTTAGTTCTCCTTTTCCCATTTTAGACCAATAAGACCCGGTTTCAGTAGTTTAGATTAGAGGTAATAATGATAATTCAGAAGAATTGATAAATTTTAATTACTGGTGGTAGTAGTGACAGTTTGCAAAGAAGGTACATTTGAGCTTCATTTTAATGAATGAATTGAATCTGCTAGATAGTGGGAATAGTCTACAGAATTAGATGTGGAAGGAAGACCGTGAACAATATATTCAGGAGTGAACATCTTTCTTGAGGGATTAGCCTGTATTTGAGAGTGGCTGAAATACAGAGCATGCTATGGGAGGGAACTGAGGGAAATAAAAACTTAAGAATCAAATTTTGACCCCAAGAGGTTAATGCTAAGTAATTTGGATTCAGTAGTCTAAAGCTTTTATATTTGTAGAATCCATTTTTCTTGTTAGAGCTTAACCGATTGCTCCAATTTGGATAAAGAGGTATTGAAGATTTGAAGGACACAGACTGGATAAAGATAATAACATCAGAAATACAATTCATGTTTAAGTTCCTTATTACTTCCAGGATAAATTCCTTTCTTCTGGCACACCATATATTGTTCTTCTTGATCTAATCCACTTGCCTGTCTCATTCTCTAGCCATGTTAAGTATCTTCCCTAAAGTTGATAGGTTTCCTTCTTTTATGCCTTTACATAAAGGCAGTTCTCCTTGTCTTATTCTGGGCAATCTTTCAGATTTCAGAGTCATTTAGTCACTTACTAGGTATATTTAATGAATGTTTACTGTGCACTATGTATTCAACCTCTGTGAGAATTCTTCCTTACATCCTTTTTCCTTCTTGGATTAAATCTTATGTGTTCCTCCTACTACATTTATAATTGGTTATTGTTCTATAATAAACCCAATCAACTCAGTATTGTAGCTGCTAATTTACTTATTTCCTCCACTATTTTGTAATCCCCTTGGGAATAGGTAATGTATCATGTATTTCCATATTTGAACAATGCTTAGCACAGTGCACACTTAATGAATACTTTCCGAGTAAATCAGTAAATAATAATTGATTTCAGAATGTGGCAATAGCATTAATATGTAAAGAACGTATATTTTTGAGTCCTATTTAGTAGTCTGGCCAAAGTATGATATTTGAAATAATGTACAGTGTGGTAGATGAGCCTGGAAAGAAAGTAAGGTCTACCTTATGTTATAGGAAGTTCTTGTGTGCCATGTTTTGAACTTCTGGCTTTTTTTTGCTTATTGAAAGCAAAACAAAATAAAACAAAAAGATTTATGAGTTTATGAATCAAACATGGATAACACTCTAACAGTATCCATACACATTTACTAATGGTAAATGTACTGAAATGATCTGGATAGCCTTCTTTATACTTTTTCATCTTCTTTGAAAAAATATTTGTCTACCTTATATTAATTATATTAACTAATTTTATTTTTCTTCTAGTGCCTATGTTGAAAAATATCTACTGGAGAAGTCCAGACTCGTTTATCAAGAGCATAATGAACGGTACATATTTTCATTTGTATAATTAGATCAAGTTAACACTTGTATAATGCTGATTGACTTTTAGAATCTTTGTATATTATGATCTTTAATTCAGTTTATACCATGCATAGCTTTACACATAATTGCCATTTCTGTCATGGCCAGAACAGTGCACTTTTTCTGAGGCTGCTAGGAGATTATTTTTTTAAAATCCTCACCTAAAGATATGATTTATCGATTTTAAAGAGAGTTAAAGTGGGGGGGGGGGGGAGAGAGGAACATTGAAGTAGAGAGTAATGTCAATCGGCCGCCTCCTGTTTGCTCCCCAATTGGGGATCAAACCCAGAACCTAGATATGTGTCTTGACTGGGAATCTGAACCTGCAACCTTTTTGGTGTATGTGACAATACTCCAACCAACTGAGCCACCTGGCCTGGGGCTGCTAGGAGATTTTTAAAATGGGTATATAGAACTGTTCACCTTTCTAAATTCTAGGCAAAATATCAAAATAGGAAAACAGCGGTTATCTTTGTGCTCTTTGTGAGCATTGTGCCTTTGGAACATTTTCCATGTCTTAGTGTCTTTTCTTTAACTTGAGAAAAGTCTTTAATAAAGCTTTTAATTTCATTGTAATATATGAGGTATGTGGGCTTCAGAGATGATATATATGCAACCTCCTTCAGATGAAGGAACCAAATATTGGAAGATGTAAATGATTTGCTTCATGTTACAATGAGACAAAATTAAAAGGCCAACTTTGAAGTTAAACAGACCTAATTATTCAAATAATGGATACGCCTTTGGCATCTCACTTAACTTCTCTGCTTCTTAGATACTCTAATTTTACAAATAGAAAATTATCCTAAAGTTGTTTAGAGGATTGTATAAAATCCTATCTAATAAAAGGGTAATATGCAAATTAACCATCACTCTGTCACAAAAGATGGTGGTGCCCATAGCAACAAGATGGTGGTGCCCAGTCCTCTCAGTCCTGCTGGAGTCCCCCAGTCTTGGTGGGGTGGCCGCTGAGAGTGGGCAGTGTGATCAGTCTGTTGGAATGCTTGCTTTGTTGCTGCGTGGACGAGGCAAGCATTCCACCCTGGCCACAGAGGGCCTCTGGGCCTTGGGCATGGAGCAGCTGGGGTGGGGGTGGGGGGAACTGTTGGCATTCCACCTCGGCCGCGGATGGGCCTTTAGCCAGGCTGGGGTGCTGAACGCTTGCGTCATTGCCCTGGCGATGAGGCAAGCGTTTCGTGCCTAGCTGCAGATGGGCCTCTGGCCGTGCCTGGCTGTGGATGGGCCTCTGGGTCGCGGAGAGCCTATGGGCAGTGGGCGTGGAACGGCCAGGCTCTGCAGAGAGCTACTGGCGCACGCATTCGTGCGCAGGGCTATTAGTAATATTTATAAAATGTTATATGTATAATAACAGTTCAATAATTAATAGCTAACATTATCATAATGAATTATCTGCAACGTTAGGACTAGAACTCAGACTTTCCTATTACTTTTTTTGTGGCTAGCAGATGAGAAAATCTGAATTAAAGGTATTTCAAAATGAAGGGAATAGAGTTTCAGGAAGAGAATCTATCCTATCTAATAATAGACAAACATGGTAATTAACCGTACCTCCAACACGCTTCCCATTGGCTAATCAGGGTGATATGCAAATTAACTGCCAACCAATATGGTGGCCGGCAGCCAGGCAGCTGAAGCGAACAGGAGGCTTGCTTGCTCCAGTGATGGAGGAAGCCAAGGTTCCCCGCCTGCCGCTGCCGGCCTCTGAGCTGCACTCTAAGAAACAATGTTGCAATTATAGAAGCTAAACAAACCCCAGAAACCTGCTTTCAGCCAGCCGGGCCTCAGAGCTGGAGCTGCAACAGTGTTTCAATTATAGAAGCCAAACAAACCCAGATACCTGCTTTCAGCAGCCGAGGTCTCAGAGCTGGAGCTGAGCCTCAGAGCTAAAGCCGGCTCTCAGTTCCAGTGACAGCCATAGAAGGTAAATAAATCCCAGAATAAAAAAAAAAAGAAAAAAAGAAGAGGTTGGGAGCTTCAGTCGCCTGCCAGCCTGAAAACGGC